TTGTTGGGCTTTTCTCTGTATCTATGAAGCGCCTTGAGGCGACATTTGTTGTGATTTGGCGCTATATAAATAAAATTGAATTGAATTGAATTGAATTGCATTTAGCTCTAAAAATGTCTGTATCGTCATTGTCTGTAAAAGATGCAAATAATGTTCTTAAGATACAAATTATGTTCTTGTAAATGCATGAAGGGGCGTAACCCTGATGAATTAAAAGCAATCTGAAGTGTATTTTTGGGCGGAGATCTACATCTGATGTGTTGCAGTGTACATCTTCCTGCGCGTGTATTCAATAAACTCATCTGTTTGATTGCATCCTTCTGGTCCTCTGGTATTTTGTTTTGGTTTTCAATATCTCGAATCGGGACAGCTTTGGTGCCGTGGCCCGGATGTTGAGGCCATTGACCCGGTTCTTAAGGTTTTTACGGAGAAAATCCAAGGCCAGAGGTGGTCAGACGGGCGGACATGAGCCAGTGATTCGGCTGAGTTTTCAGGGCCCTGAAAGAAGGTAAGGCACATACCTGTTAAATCAAAGTGTGCTGATTGATATTTATTGTCTAAATTTACTCAGCTAAATTACTGGTGAATCTCTGTTTTGAGTGATTTTTGGACAATTGAGATTTCATAGGATTTTGAAAAGGACAATATTGAGTTAAAATAAAAGGTATTTTATGGTAAAGGACAAAAGGCAATGTTGTGTATAGGAAAACACAGGATCATAGGTTAAAGGTAATTTTAAGGTTTAATAACTGTCAAGTTCAGGGTTGGAGAACCCCTCCCTAATGGAGACGTCCATTAGGGTCCGCCGACGTGCGGTCACTCCAGATTGACCATCTGCCAATGACTTGGGACTTTAAAATAGGTTATGATCAAAGGATCATTTTGATACAGTTATTTGTTCAGTAAAGAAGTTAATCTCGGGCGTGAATGTCCGAGGAATAAATCTTGATTGGGGCAAGATTTACTGAAGTGACGTGACTTTTCAGGAAATTGACTCAGTGCTGGTCTGAGTATTTCTTGAGAAATTGATTTTGAAGGAAAATCAATATTGAAAAGTTTTATATAAATGTAAGTGTTAAATGGGATCCGCTGCAGTCCATTTGAAGAATCAATGCTGGCTGTGTTTTTCTTGATATGAGTCTGTGTTAGATCCGCCAGTGCAATCAACCTTGCATAAGTCAAGGTTGATTGCACTGACACAGAAAACTGTTTTTAGATCATCACTGGCTGCGGTGATATACATGTGCTGAATATTGTTGGGTCTCCTGAGATCTATTTGATAAGTTCTTGGGCAAATAAATGACAGAAACAGTTTTTCAATTGTGCGGAGAATTTTAAATACTGAAGTTGCATGTTCTCCGTACTTGGTGCATTGTGTGGACTTATATCAGGTTTATAAGTCCAAAGTTTATGACCTAGAGGTCATTCATCGTGTTTAAAGAAGAACAGGAATTAGAAAAGGATATTTAATGTCATATTTTGGGTAAATTGAGGAAAACGTATTATATATAATCACTTTTCTTTGTTTGAAAACACACACACACACAGTTCTTGGGTGTGACCTACTTCCTCTTTTTAATTTTAAAACTGCGACATGTGTTCATTGAACCAGAACTTCAGCAGTAAATGAGACAGGATTTAGATTCTCAATTTTAAAGGATATTGAGACAATATATTTGAAGATTTAAGTACTTTTTTGAGTTTGGAACAATATGAGTATTTAATGGGCGATCCTAATATCCCCGTTTTCGAGTGGGAGGGTGCCCTTATTACTTCGTCCTTGAAGATGAATTCACATCTGTACCTGAGGGGATTCATGCAGACTTTTTCTTCTACTGTGAAACAGTGGACTCACATTATGAATATTTCACATCTGTAGACGTAAGTGAAGAACAGTTTGGCCAGTTCCTAAGTGTCTAGTTATCTTCCAAGGCCTAAGTAATCCTTCTGGGTGAAAATAGTTATCAAAGTAACAGCTTGCTGACAAAATACATAGAGTGTTTTTAAGAGGGTGACTTTTGGGTGTTATAATTGGCCAGTTTTGTGTGTGTAAAAAACTAAATAGATTAGATTGTGATATTTTCATTAAGATCATAGAACTACCATTGGGTGCGGTCACTTCCCCTTTTCTCTGGGACTTTCTTGAAGGCCTCATATGCACTTAAACTTTGAGACCTACTTTCCCTTTTTGTAGAAAACATTATGTTCAATTGTTTCTTATTGATTTCTAAGACGACCTACATTGCTGAAGTGCCTGATTTTGATTGGGAGTTTGAAATAGTGGATATTCACGTACACATTGTGGTTTATTGCTAATTAATTTAAGAATTTCCCTTTATTACTGTTAAGAAACTGGGATCTCACAGGCAAATAATAGGGCGCGGCATTGTTCCTCTTTTTCAAGTACATTGACATGTTTAATTATTTCACATTGAGCGCTGATTTAACACCCGAAGGTGAAGTGAACCATTTAGAAATGTATCTGTATGGTGAAATACTTAGTATTTGCTTTGGCATTTTACTTTTCTGTGAAATAAGTGAAGGACACGTTGAACCGTTTATCACTTGGTGCGTAGGCGTATTCTCGTGACACCTTTTACCTCACTGAAATGGTGGGTGAAAGTATATTGAATGATTTTGAGTCTGAGAAAGAGGACATTGGTTTTGGGATCTTTGTTTATTGTTTAAGTAACTGAGCTGCAGAGGTGCCCAGTCTTTTTGGGTTGACTGAGCTTATTTTCGTTTCTCATTCACGCACTGGGCGTAGCTGAATTAAGCACTGAGAGACCATAGTGAGTCATTTTCAGAGTTGGTGCATGTTTCTAGTGATAATTGTGGCTGGTTTTGTGCATTCACAAGGGAATGCAGCATTAAAGTTACTGGGTTGATTATTGTGCTGTTTCACCAAGCTGGTGAAAAAGAGGAAGTGACTCTTGGAGCAGCTGCACTGCTTCTGAAAGTGAAAAGGTAAGTCTCCTCGAGGAAACTTGGCAGGCAGAGACACAAAGCAGACATTTTGTGAAGTTTCAGTAAACTAAGATGGCGGACAGCTCAAGTCCGCCACCCAGTGGACAGAAGACATATAAGCCCCTAAAGGACCACGTGGACCAGCTAAAAAAGGCCATACACATGGCCTGTCCAGGAACACTGAAGGCAGCAGAGAAAGAGTTTCGCACAATGAAAGATTATGTGGAAAAACTGTGTGAAGCCCAGCAAAAAACTATGGAAGACAGAGAACCTTTGTTCATGGTTTTCAAAAATGAAGGGGAAATCTGTGAAAAGAAGCTAAAGCAGCTACATGAAGACACACTGGGCTAGTCAGTGAACAGAAAAAGCAGAGATGAAAACTTTGAAAGAGAATCACGGTAAGTGTTGCAAATGGATGATCATGTGCCAAGGAATATCTGATTGGATGAAAGAGGAAGTGAAGCAAACTGAACCTCCCCAGCAACAGGAAGACAACATGGAGGCGAAAGAAGATGTAAAGAACCTACTAAAGTCTCTGCAAGATCTGCAACAGGAAAATAAGAAACTAGAGGGACAGATACAGAGTCTGTCCACAGAAGGAGAGGAACTGGAGCTTGCCCGTGCACAGCTGCCAGCACCTCTTACTTCAGTCTTCACCCCACATGTGATGGGCGGAGACACAGCCAGACTATGAGCGCCACCGCAAATGTCTCCCTGGGTGACACAGGTGCCAAGTGGAGAATCAACTAGCTGATGCAGTCAGAGAGAAGTACCTGACCCCTAATTTGGGACCCCAAATACACCCCTAGGGAATTCTTAGAAAGAGCCAAAGAGCAGTGGATGACAGAAACAGGCATACACCCAGGCCAGGAAGGAGAACACAGGGCGTGGTTTCGTACAGCGGTGCTTCGGGGGCTGCCTGAGAAGGTGACAATTGATTTAGAGAAAAACCCTGATTTTGCGGTTGCAGATTCAACTTAGTGGGAGGACCCAGAGGAGGCACAGGCGCAACTGTTAAAACTACAACTGAATGAAGCTCGAGAGAAACACAATTCCAAGAGAAAAGAGGTCAAAGATTCCACTAAAACTATGATGGTGGCGAGGCCCCAACCGGATCCCGCACCTGAATGGCCAGACCTCGATCCCAACCTGTATCCTGATGACCGTTGACACGACAATACACCAAGGCAGAGACAACCTGTGGGAAATTGGGGACCAGGTTGCTCGCAGAGGGAGCGTGGTGGATACGGGAGGAGAGAACCGAGAGCTCGTGGTTCGGGGAATCCCAGAACCAACCCATGGAATGTCTGTAACAGATGTGCAAAAGAAGACCACTGGGCCCGAGAGTGCCGTGAAATGTTTCCAAGCTCCGAACAGGGAGACTACCAATCTCAGGCACGTGGAGCTCCTAGAGGCAGAGGTGTCTACAGGGGAGGACACCAGGCTCCTAACCCAGGTGCAGCGCCAGTCTCCCAATACCCAGTGGCGGATTGGAGCTGGGAGGAGCAGTACTGACGGGACCCAGAGAGACCACACGGCAGGGGAATGGCAGATCCCATGCTGTCGATGACCGTGGAAGGCGCAGAGTTGACCTTCCTCATGGACACTGGGGCAACTTACTCAACACTGAGAAAGACACCAAACAGTGCAACACTCTCCAACTACACGGTGAGTGTGGTGGGTTTCTCTGGGGTTCCAATGACTCTGCCACTCACAGATCCAGCCCTGACCAAGCTGGGCAAACAGACTTTGAGACACAGATATGTGGTGTCGCCACACGTACCTGTAAATCTGATGGGCAGGGATCTGCTCGTCAAACTAGGAGCCACTATCATGTGCTCTGCAGATGGACTAACTGTGACTCTGCCAGGAGGAACACGGCTCCCGTGCCTGGGAACACATTCAAAGACTCACAGCCACAGCCGACATTTACTGTATATATATATATATATATATATATATATATATATCATATTGTATTAAGCCCATCTTAGCTCTTTTAATATCCTGCTAGATATGGATCTAAGTGACTCTGATGACACCCCAAATGTGACTCCCCTTGGTGTGGGTAGGGGTAGAGGGTTCACAACTGTTCCTTTTTCACTGGGTGACTGTCGGGTGGGGCATAGAGCAGCAGGTAGTTCTTGTGGGCTTGTGGCCAATTCGCAGTCAATACAGTGCACTAAGTCACCTACCTCAGACCCCCCAATAACTGATGTGAGTCTAGTCCAGGGGTGGGCAATCTTAGTCCACGAGGGCCGGTGTCCCTGCAGGTTTTAGATCTCACCTTGGGTCAACACACCTGAATCACATGATTAGTTCGTTACCAGGCCTCTGGAGAACTTCAGGACATGTTGAGGAGCTAATTTAGCCATTTAACCCTTTAAAACCGGTCAGAGCGGGCACGCTCCATTTTGCGCAACTACTTTTAAATCCCGGTAGCACTGCAACCACGTGAGCTAGCGCGATTATTTTTTTTTCATATGAAACCGGAGGAGTTGTACTTACATCTTATGCCATCAGCTTGTCCTCGGTCACGGTTTCCTTCCACATATAGCTTTGCAAAAACTGCATAAAAAGCACTTGCAGCAACAAAAACATAATATTCCAGAAACACGCTTTGCCGATCTAATCAGCTGTTCATAACACTTCCTACATTGGATTAGACGTCAGCGCGAACTATCGCATGTCCGCCATGACCTGCCCAAAACCGGAAGTGACGTCATTTTCACGGAAATGTAGTTTTTTTTACCATCAGGGCCTCATGAGCCTATACTGGTGTTTTTTCAAAAATAAAACTATGAAGGCACTCAAAATAAATTTCCTGTGGTGGGAAACTATTTTGTGCAACTTTTTTGTATTTACGGTTTTGAGGGATAAGCCTCTTAAATTTCTCCAACTAGAAATATATGTTAAAAAAACAAAAGCGATTTTCAATTTCTTTGTAGTTTATTGCACTTTTTTGCAATTTATGTAATTACTATGCACTTAATGCATACATATTATTATAATTTAGGCTGTAATGGTTGTATTGATGTATAGCAACTTGAAATGCTCCCAAAAATGGCACTACAACATGTAAAAATATAATATAACCTCTGGCGGACTTGGTTCTATGGTAGGTCTTAAAGGGTTAAATCAGCTGTGTTGGTTCGAGGACACATCTAAAACCTGCAGGGACACCGGCCCTCGTGGACTGAGATTGCCCTCCCCTGGTCTAGTCAACCAAATGAGCGACATTGTGCAGCAAATAGGGCAACGCCTGGCTGATAGCATTCTGTCACACCTGACTACATCCACACACTTTGAGCCCTGCATCTGCTACATATACATGTCCTGAGGGGGCGCATGAAACAACAGATCTCCCCTCCAGCCGCTCACTAGATCTCTCTCAAGTCCAGCTGGTGGCTCCGCGACAGGTTAAAGACCCACCTGTGTTTCGGGGGGAGAGTTCGGACTCGTTGTCTGTTGATGAGTGGCAGGAAGCCATGCAGAGTTACATAAAGAAGAGTGGCATTCTCCCAGAAAACCAAGCTGAGGAGATTTTGATGCATCTGAGAGGCAGGGCAAAAGATGTTGTGAAATTTGGTGTGAGGAATGGTGGAACTAATGTCCAGCATAATCAACAAGCTATCTACAGACTTCTGCGCAAACATTTTAGTTCCACCCAGTGCTCATCTATGCCCCTGGCTGACTTTTATTCAACCCTGACGAAAGACCGGGAGGATCCATATATTGGCTGAGGCTGAACAAGGTTGCTGATGTGGTTGGCAACTGTCTTAAGGAGCAGGGGAAATCTTTTGAGAACTCTGGTGTGGAGGTTGTACGCATGTTCATCAGACACTGCCCCTGCAGAGACTTGGCTCTTGTTTTTAGAACAAAAACATGTGATAAATGGTCAACTCGTGACATCCAGGAGGTGCTGGATGAGTATCACCTGGGTAAGGGGTTCCAGTCTCCTCCACAGAAGGATATCTGTGTCTTTGTGAATAAGGAGGTTAGCACAAATGCTACTCCTTGCTTGGCTGACCATGAGCAGAGACCAGCTGTGAGTCAGGATGGCTCTGCTATTGAGAGTTTGATCAGCATGCTAGAGAAGGTGCTGCTTCAAGGCCCAGGCTATGCTGGAGCTAATGCCAGGCGACAGAGTGCCCGACTGCCGAGAATACCGGGCTTAGATGACACACCATGTTCCATCTGCAGAGATAGCTCCCACTCCACACTCACGCACTGTCGGGAAAACAGATTGTGCTTTCTGTGTCACCTATCTGGTCATTCGAGACGTACCTGCCCAGAGGGCAAGTGTACTCCTTCCAACGGTCATCAGGGAAACTGAACGATCTGCGTGGAGGGGAGGACAGCGCAGATCCAGCAAGTAAGCCTCCCATCTTGGACATGACTGGTATTAATGATTATGAAACTTTGTATTCCACTTACAGTGGCATCGT